AGATGGGAATAATATTTGCTAATGTACTTCTTAAGGCTTCTAAACAGCTAAAATGAGATCATATTCTGGAAACTCTAATATCAAATTGTATGGAATTGTTAGCTTTGGTTAAATGGATTTCCTATGTTGTAGTGAAAAAGTTTTATTACAATGAACAAGTTTTGCAAAACAGGAGACACAATGATGGTAGAAAATCAACAAAGTACTCCAAAGAACTGCAGGGTTACAGAGTTTAGTAAAAACAAAACCCTGCAAATAAGAGGAGTACAGCTGGAGTCTTCCTGATTGATTAACATCTGTCTACAAAGTTGCAGGTGTCAGGGTCTTAGTTGACCACCTTTGTAGGGGTTGGTCTTTGCAAGCTTGGTTCCACATAACAGGATTTGGCTGACCATGAGTTTCCTGGAATAATTGTTAAAATAGTGACACAACATACTGTAAAGGCGATCAGAAAAACATTTATCTGGTGGTGGGGGAAAGAACTTAGGGGTATTTTCTGAGAAGTGGCTAGGCCACTAAAGTCACATGTTTCACATTACATCTAATACCCGTACAAATAAGTAATCTCTTAACATCAGCTATTTCTAACCACAAGCTCACTTATAAGTGGAGTTGCTGTTAAGTGCCATTGAGTCGGTTACAACCCATAGCGACCTTGTATAGGGTTTCCAAGGAGCAGCTAGTGAACTTGAACCACCAACCTTGTAGTTCAAGCGCATTAACCCACAGTGCCACACCAGAACTCCTATAAGTGGAGTAAGCTGGGTAAAATCGGTTTGTTTTTTTAAAAAAACTACTTGCATCTAAAGTAGCTCTGATAATGAAGTAGGTTACGCATTGGACTGCTAAGGCAAGGATAGCAGTTGTAATCTACCAGCAGCTCATCTGGAGGAAGATGAGGCTTTCTGCTCCCAGAAAACCTATACAGGATTGCTATGAGTCAGATCCAACTCCATCACACAAAACCACCACTTGCATCTAAGTCAAAGGTGTAGTAGAACTTTTCTTTTAAAGAAGTGGCAGATTTACGTAGGATCTCTAAAAATGGAGTAGGTTTATTTCACAGTTTAGTTTGAGGCCTTATTTCAACCAGATGTCTTAAATTTTTAATGTGCAGCTGGTATTATTAAGTGCTGTCCAGTTGGTTCCAGCCCACAGCGACCCTGTATAGGGTTTCCAAGGAGCAACTAGTGAACTTGAACCACCGACTTCACGGTTCAAAACTATTTTGTTCTACATTAAAAATGAAGCTCGCTGAGGTTTTAGTGAAAGAGGTTTTGGTTATGGAGGTTAGGATGGAAAATATATAATATATAACCATATATATACAGTAAGTGATAGGATAATATCCATGTGCCTACATGGAAGCCCAGTTAATACCACTGTTATTCAAATTTATTCACCAACCACTAAAGCCAGTGAAGATGAAATGGAAGAATTCTACCAACTTCTTCAATCTGAAATCAATCAAACATGCAATCAAGATGTATTGCTCATTACTGGTGATTGGAATGCAAAGGTTGGGAGCAAAGAGGAAGGACCAGTAGTTGGAAAATTTGGACTTGGTGAAATAAATGATGCAGGAGAACGAATGATAGATTTCTGCAAAACAAATGCTTTGTTTATTTCAAATACCGTCTTTAGACAGCATAACAGATGGCTGTACACATGGACCTTCTTTAGACAGCATAACAGATGGCTGTACACATGGACCTCACCAGATAGAACACATAGAAATCAAATTGACTACAACTGTGGAAAGAGAAGATGGAAAAGCTCCATATCATCAGTGAAAACAAGGCCAGGGGCAGACTGTGGAACAGACCATCAATTACTGATATGCAAACTCAAACTGAAGCTGAAGAAAATGAAAACAAGTCCACAAGAACCAAAATATGACCTTGAGTTTATCCCACCTGAATTTAGAGATAATG